TATGTATAGGTATACACACCGAGAGAACGGATATCTTTCTTTCTTCGAGCATCAATTGCATGCACATGACCTTTCCGACGAATCTTTTTCAGTTTTCAATTCATGAACTCTTGTTGTGTAGCCAACCCGGCCTCATGGGTCTGCTGCTGCTGCTGCTGCTGCTGGATGATGCTCTGCTTAGCAACCACTCCAACACAGTAATAGCTAGCAGCGTGAACTACAACCTACAGAGTTTTTGAGATACATGAACAGGCAGAGGTAGGTACAAAGCCGTATTTAGCACCTTTCTTTGTCAATTGCTATTGCTGCAATGGATACGTGGATGAATTTCCTTCTCCTTTTTTTTGTGCCCCCTACACAGCAGTTTTCTGGAAACCATCCCCTGACTGCTGTGCCGCGCTGGGCGCGAGAAGCAGCGCGCAACACCTTTTGTGGGTCGGTCTCCCTCTTCGCGAAAGGAAAGCACTGGAATCGTAGCCGTGAGGATGTTCGAAAACAGACCACACATCAGCACAGCAGCACTCCGCAAAAACCGATTTAACCTTTTTTTGGTGTGCCGCAGCCGGTTGCGCCGCCACCTCCTTACGCTCACTGCGCCACGGTCGCGGCCGCGCTGGGTGCGAGACACGGCGCGCAGCATCTTGTGGGCCTTGGTCTCCCTCCTAGCGAAAGAACCGGAGGCTGAAACAAAGCACAGTGCGTTTTTGAAAAGGGACCATAACAATGACAACTACTACGGCCTTCAAGTTTTGTTTAATATATACATAAATTATCTGCTTTGGAAGGAGCATTATAAGGGCAAAAACCCCTAACGCTAAGACCCTACTTTATGGAAACAGAATCTTGCAAATATTTCTTGGCATTTTCACCCAATAATTGCTCACAATATATCTCCACCAAGGTTTGCAGTATCGCGATTTATGGGGAGAATATATGTTGAATGTTGAAAAAGCGGCGAGTTGTTCCTCTCTCCTGCTTGAAGTTGATAAAGGCACAACGGCCACTTGGTCCACAGAAAATGCCAAGGTGTGGCGAAAAGTGACCATGACGCAGTTGTAGAAGGAGCGTCCCTCCCCCAGCTGTATTGCTTCAACACTATGGGTGGATACTAGCGATGGGCGCCTACCTGGGGTGCAAAATAGAAGCCGTTGCCGACGACCTCATATCAAGCGGAAAAACAAAATTGTTCCATTGCTGTCCAACTGGCAAGAAAGTACATCAACCCGAAGCCGATTATACCCGTGCACGTATCTCACTATGTAGCAGGCGTACCGAGGTCAAACCTCCGGCGCTGTCATCTGCACTCACGGATCTGGCTCGGGTGCAAACGGATTGGGTGTGGGGTGATTCGATGAAGAGATAGAAGCGTCGCACACGACAGAGCTGTGTTGGCAAAACGTTCCTCCTCTTCTATTTTTCTACTTCAAGATAAAGTACTCTTTGAACGGTCCCTCGACAGACTGGTATTGACGCACGTGGAACGAGCCAGGGCAAATACGCATTTTTTTCGCGCGCCTTGGTCGTTTTCGTTCGCTGTCGGCGCCCGTGGCGCTGACACAGTGGCGCCAGGGTGCGTTTGAGACCCTTACGAGTGTGCCACGTGCAGATTTCATGGCGTTATGGACGATTAGGTTGACTGACCTTCGGTGATCGCGCCGCACCCAGGCAAGATTTGTTTCGCCACCTCAAGATTTGTCGGAAGGCTCGTTTCGACAGATCTTGGGTCAAGATTTGTTCGAAAGGGCAGATTTCGGGTCTCGAGAAATCTTGGCCAAGATATATCGGAAGATTTCGCCCCATAAATCGTGAAACTGGCAGATCTTGTCCAAGATCAAGATTTAGCGACAAGATTTTGTTCCCATAAATCAGGGTCTAACCCTAACCCTAACCCTAACCCTAACCTTAACCCCAAGCCCACACGGTACGTGCTACATGTAGGTTGGCGCTGGGCGGCTAAGTTCTAGGTTGATGTGCCGGTGGCTAAGTTCTAGGCTGATATGCTGGTGGCAAAGTTCGAGGTTGACGTGCCTACGGTGGGCACTTCGTGGGCAGTTCATTGGCACTCCGTGGGGAGTCCTTGACGTGATCATGGGCGGTTTAACAAAAACTCCCAGTATTGTGGGAGATTGTGTGAAGTGTCCCCTACATAGGGCCAAATGTGCACGAATATAATTATCCCGCACACCTGGGTACCCCTTCCCTGGGGGCCTAATGGAAGGACTGTCCCCCCCCCCCCATGTTGTTGCCTCATTCCTTGGCATCGAATGCATTCACCAGTGCATGTCAAACCTGTTGTACACCGCTGTAACGCTGTGATGCACTAACATGCCTGCGTTAAAAAATGTGTTGCTCTTGGGAAACCTCCCGACGATCATTATCCACATCGCCCACACCCACATCCTCGAACTAATTTTCGGTGAAAGCAAAAGCCCAGAGTAATATGTAGCATCACCCCTCTACGCGCGTGAACGAAGAGCCCCCAGCTCGACGGAAGCCACGGGACTTGTGTCTCATGTAGGAGCTCGGGATTGTGCTGAGAGTGTCCCGGTCGCCTACCGCTACGCCCACCATTTCCCGACGCATTCGCGCACTGAAAACTACGCCAACCCCAAAAAACACCGATTCGGGGTCCATTGACACTCCCTAGCTCTTACGTCCAGCTCCTCTTTCTTCTTCTCCTCCTCCTCCTCCACCTCCTCCTCTTCGTTTCGTTCCTTTCGTCTTTCTCCATCGTACCCCTCCTACCGCTTCCTCATTGCCCTCTCCCCCTCTTCGCTGAACTCCGAGGCTGCTTGCACTGCGCCGCGACAATATGCTTGACTAGTCTTGGGCCGCAACAGCCTGGGCTGGGCCGGAACAGCCTGGGTTAGGCCTACGCCCGTCCCTGAGGGTGCGCTGATCATGCTCTCCCTCTCGTCGCCTAGGTCTAGGTGCGGTACGCAGAAGTGTACAGCGTGCAGGCGCGGCGAGCGCATTTGGCTAGGGGGCACGCAGATGCACAACGGCCCCCTATATTTCAAGGCGCTTCCATATATGTAAAACATAGTAACCTATGAATATGGTCAATATCAACGAGAGAAAAACTGTGGGAAATATATAGTGTTTGTTTCAATGGGCCCTCCCGGGGTAATTCTATTGGTTTTTGTGGAAACCTTTTTTCACATACCCTTTCGTCCTGTATAGACGAATGGAATATATGCGATCTGCTGCAATTTTCCGGTCCAAAGGAAAAAGGCCTGAACCTTTCCGTTCCTTGATGGCACGCGAACCAACTACCACGATCATACATCGGGTTGGACGTGACATTATTCATCCTCCATGCTTGGCAATGACGAACCCATGGCCGAATATCGCAACCCACTGCGGGGAAAGGTAAACGCGGGTTACCTGATGCTTCCCATCCGTCTGCGCGGGACAATCCATGGGACATCGCTGCTGCTTTTTTCGAGAAAAGTTGGGGATCATCGCTTACCGTTCCAGCTGCTCCTTTCGATGAAGTTTAAAGATTGTCGCAATGCGTGACAAAAAACGGTCTTTACGTTTTCGATAGTCGTCTGCATCGGCCTCTCCTTGCAAGACGGAGACAGGAATTGGCAGCTTCAAGTGAGCAGTCACGTCCCGGACTCCTCTTGTTATTTCTGTCTTCGGCCATTGTTTTCGGGTGGTGTGCCGAAAGGCACACCCACGCTTAGGATCCTGTCTGCGCGTGGAAAATATCGCGAATGAGAGGGGACCTTTCCCATGCGGACTATAACATACTGACAATATAACATAAATTTTACCCCTCCCCCCCGGAAAATGTTGCAGTGGTACCCCGTGCTTTCGCTCA